TTGTAATTGTGTAATCAACTTGCTATCATTAGAAAAGGTAAGGAAAATTTGATTGTGTTCACGTTATTATCATTTTTAACTTCACGAGACATCGCGTTAATAAAGCTCTGAACTAATAATTACTTGAATTGGATCGATGAAATACAAATTTTATTCCATCTGTTTCAAAATTTAAGTTGTTTTGGAGGTTTTTTTATGTTCAAAATATAAGTTATTTTGATAATTGTATGTATTTTTTAACTTTATTAACTATTGTGTGGCCAATAGTATTTTGCAGTCATTTTTTTACTGGTTAAATTATTTTTATTCTATATATAAAATGATATTTTTTTTAAACTAGTTTATTGATATTCGTACTTTTAGTTAAAACAACTTATATTTTTAAGGGAGAGAATATTTATTATAGACCACTAAACAATCTGATGAAGAAACGAATCCCTTTTGGAGAAATTATTTCATTACTTTTGTTTTTGATCGTAGAGAGAGAAAAAAAAAGAGAAATTTCAAAAAATACCACTTTTCAAGTGCCACTTTACAAAAATGCCACACTTTTGAAATTATTTCATTACTTTTGTTTTTGATCGTAATGACCACATATTTATTGTTTGATTTGGACTAAATAACCACATATTTATTTTCGATCTCTTCTCAAAATAGTTCATAATAATTTGAGTTAGATTTGACTTATATATTTGATCATTATTATCTAATCATAAGAAATGGAGATAGAACTAATATACTAATACGTTTTGAAATAAATATGGTTCTATACTTCTAAGCTGAATCAATTTAGATGGAGTTGACAAAACAAAAGTACCTCTCCCGAATTAGTTCTATGAAATGATGTATTCTAAATAATTTTTAGCCAATTCCACATAAAAATTCATCAATTTAGTCAAATTAATGTTACCATTTACGAACGTTATACTAATACATAACGCATATGAATACATTTACTTTTGTGTCAAATGTCAGACATAAATTTTACGTTTATGTGAGTTTACGTACGTTAGATAATAATACAACTTTTTCGAAGCTTTATTGGTTTCTGGACAAACACTTTTTCTTATCGAAGAATGTTACCAAAACTATTAACTCTTTTCCTCCGGATTTAACACGTGGAGATAACGTTTCATAGGAATCTATAACAAAACCAATGGCATAATATTTTTTTTTTAAAAAGGACAGAAGAGGGATTCGGATTAAAACTTCTCGTTTATTGGAATCTCACTTGTATTTTGTTGGATTATGCAAATCCATCGACTCCACTTTATAGTATGATATTGTTTGATTTGGACTAAATAATCACATATTTGTTTTCGATCTCTTCTCAAAATATTTCATAATAATTTGAGTTAGATTTCACTTATATATTTGATCATTATTATCTAATCATAAGATGCAGAGATAGAACTAATATCCTAATACGATTTGAAATAAATATGGTTCTATACTTTTAAGCTGAATCAATTTAGATAGAATTGACAAATCAAAAGTAGTTCTCTCGAATTAGTTCTATGAAAATAAACTCCGCGTTTAGAATAAAAGCAGTTTCTTAAACTCCGCGTTTTTAGCCAAAACATCTTACATTTTGAAAGGGATGGAATACATTATTAGATGATTAGATGGTTTTTTGCGCCATATGTTATTAATTAAGAACTAATACTCTTCCTATTTTATTATTAAAAATAAGTATTCCTACGCTAAATGCATTGTATCAGACGCTGTCAACGATATAAGGGATTAGATGCAGCATTGGGGAGATGTATGATCGGCTAAGTAACGCATGAAGACAATGAAAGTAGGTGCAGATCCACGAGTCTAGACTCGACCCAACCAAGGACGTGGAGCTTGATATCCGAGTCCGGACACGTAAAAACTTATAAATACTACTTCGTTTCCTTCATAAATTGAATCTGTTTTTTCAGCTAAAATTAATTACACTTAACCCATTATCTCGAGATTAAGGCGCATTCCCTTGAGTTTTAGTATCATTTTTGTCTCCTTTTCTCTCATTCTTTTAGTTTTCCCACTTTCCTTTGTTCTCCATGTCTCCATGTGGTGTCTTATCTTCCTCCTTTCTTGCTCATTTCTTACTTGAGCGTAAAACAAAACTATTTTTACATAAATGATGTATTCTAAATAATTTTAGCCAATTCCACATAAAAATTCATCAATTTAGTCAAATTAATGTTACTATTTATGAACGTTATACTAATACATAACGCATATGAATACATTTACTTTGTGTCAAATGTCAGACATAAATTTTACGTTTATGTCAGTTTACGTACGCTAGACAATAATACAACTTTTTTGAAACTTTATTGGTTTCTGGACAAATATTTTTTTTCCTATCGAAGAATGTTACCAAAACTATTAACTCTTTTCCTCCGGATTTAACACGTGGAGATAACGTTTCATAGGAATCTATAA